GAGGCTGCTGGGGAAGCGCGGGCCGGCGTGGGGGATGGGGCTGAGGCGAGGGGAGGGACCGGAGCGAAGGGAGAGCTCGGCGGCGGCGGGAGGAGGGCAGCCTCCCCCCCACCCTCAACGCCCTCCCTCTCCTTGCTCCTGGGCGTCACTAAAGTCCAGGAAAATTATGCTAATGAGGACAAACGGCTTTCACAAAGGGGATCTCTTGCCGGGCTCTATTTCTTAGGAATCCGTTTGAGAAACCACGTAACCCTCTGCCCCGATATTTCCAGTTGAGGGTCCAGGGGATGGAGAACAGGAAAAGAGTTCCCAGGACTTTGGGCAGTTGACCTCACCTGCCACCCGCAATCCAGGAACCTCGAATGCAATCTTTGGGGGGCTGGGATAGGGCCTCCTTTCTAAGAGATCTCCCCAAGAGCAGGCGAGGCTGCCTTTGGTTATATTTTTAGACAGAAACCCTGAAATCCTGGCAGTCAGGAGGAGAGGAGCCTGGGGGAGCCGCACGGTGGTCGGACAGTGAAAAGGGACGCTCTGGGCTCAGGTACACAGAAGGATGCCTAGAAACCCGGGTCTCCAGCTCTCGTGTGCGGAGTTCACAGTACACACACGCAGCTCACTCACGGGAAAGACCAATAAAGAAAGCTCTGGCCCCGACACCAACCGACATCTACGGTATTTCCCCCCCTAATTAGAGGTATACAGGGACGCTGAGCCAAGGAAAGGCCTGCGTGCGCCTGGTAATATTTCCACAGCTTTAAGGAGGATGGCCTTTTCTCCCTCCGGGCGACTCTCTCAACTCCTGAGGTTCAGAAGCGAATTCTGTAAGGGTATGTGTGTGGCAAAAAGAGAGAAATGGAGCTTTCGTGCAATTCCAAGGTGTCAACGGCTGGTCCTTCTCAAAGGAAGGTGTTAAAAATATAAGTAGTATGTTTAAACTGTCAAGGAGCCAAAGTGTCACCTTAGAGCAAAAACAAAGCCAAGGGAAAAGGGAGAAATCAAAAAGCACTCCCGGCCAGGGTGGCCTCATGCATACCAATGGTTTTTGTCATTTATGGCTGGGCAAGATTTATGACTCGGCGCCCCAAAGCTGTAAACAGAGCACAAAACAGCAAACACTTGCTCCTTATGGCATATTGCGGCAGCGCAACTTGAAAGGGGGACCGGGCCGCGTAGGAGGCGAGAGCCGGAGCAAAAATACGCTCGGCGGCATTTTCTCTTCAAACCGGCTGGGTCGGATGTGGCATTTGAAGAAGGCGTGGGTCAATAATCAACCCGCACTTTCTCCTCCAAACTGCTGACGCGACTCTCACCGCCTTCTCAGCTCAGCCAGCTGCAGGGGCTGCCAGCTCTCTGTAAGGACCTGCCAGGGAAGGGGACAGACAGGGCCGAGAGGGCCGAGGGCGCCGAGGTGAGGGCTGGAGCGTCTGGGGCGCACACCTTTCCACCAGCACGGATACCGCGCTGGGCAAAATTCGGGGACTGGACCCGCCGAACTGAGGAGCCGTGGGAAAGCGGGGGCGGGAGCTCGGGCCGGGGCCTCCGTCCGCCCGACTAGCTGGCTTCTGAGCGGCGAGTTGCGGCGGGCAGGAGCGGGGCTCCAACCTCAAGGCTGGGGTCTGGCGCCCTGACACGCAGATCGCCGGGGTTCAAGCCTCTCTGCTGAAATTCAAAGGGCTGGCTTTTGGAGCAAAGCAGGCAAGATGATTTTTAAAAAATAATAATTTGTAATAGCTGCAGGTTTTTTTGTTTGTTGTTGTTTTTTAAGAGAAAAAAACCGCCTGTCTATTTTCACTGTGAGAAATTACCCGCCGCTGCCCCCGTGCCCTTTCTAGGCAACTCCCGCAGCCATGCACCCGGCTCCACCAAAACCACGGAGGTTTTCTATGCTGAGAGGACCCCTTGGTTCCCCCAACTCCCCCACGTTCCTGTACTTCCCGATCTCTCGCCCATAGGGACTAGAAGAAAACATTTTCTCAGCACTAGTAGAATATTTGGAACAACGAAGGTGCGCTGGTGCTGGTCTACCCTTCTCAAGGGTCTCCTTGTGAATATGTCGGAGAGGGCCTCAGTGGCTGGGGGGCTGGCTGTGTAGCCAGGGGCGAAGGTGAAGAATAAATGTTGGAAAGAAGAGGCATCAAAATCCCGGAATGGGAAGGGAATACACTTGCCTGTAAGGGTGAAGCTGGCGTTTTGAGGGTAAAAGGGGATTAAGTCTTTTTTTATAGCTGTAGTTTAGCTATAATAGAGTGGCTTTAGCACTTTCCTTGGAGGAAAAACCAACCGGTGCTCTATAAATGTGACTGTTGGCTTCTTCTCACTGTGCACACTTTTATACAGAACCAGCTCAAGAGTCCTCCTTAGATATTTATTCTGCTGGCTGGTGCTGAAGCGACAATAAAAAGATGCCTTTAACAAACCTCTATTCCCTCTCTCATTCTTTCTAGTGAAACTATATTATTTATGAGTCTTTAACTGGGTCAAAAATGCGCCAGAACTGGGTCATAAATCAAATGAAATGCTGACAAGTAATTGAACAGCAATTAAAGCTTACATTTTATTTCCAAGGGGTGTTTTAGAGCACTTGAAACTGCCTCAGTTAAACACTGTTAGTGCCGAGGCTGGCAGAGGGGGAGGACAGAGCAACCCTTCCATTCTGGGGAAGTAAATCGCACTCTAGTAGGGGAAGCCTGATTTGATTTTTTTTCAAGTACAGAAAGAAATACAATTTAAAAAAAAAAGTCACGGAGCAAATCTGCTTTCTGACTCCTGGTAGGCGCCCCTTTGCTCTGCTCCGAGAGCTCCAAGAGCAGAGGAAAGCGAAGTTTCCTTCACCTTTTCAGGGAGTTTCCCTCCTTCCCAGGAGTACTGGGTCCCCAAAGCCCAATTAGCTAGGGCTTTCCCAGTAATTTGGAAGCACAGCTTAACTCTCATCGGCCTCTATCCCGGCTACAGCACCGTTTCTAGAGCTCTGAAGCTGGAGAAAAGTCTGCCCCTGCTTCCTGCAGACTCTGCCTCCAGACTGGCCCAGGGTGCACAGGCCAGTTCTCCAACTCTCCAAGCCGGCTGGGGCTGGGGCTGTACCAGGGGGCAGCCAGGCCATGCGCATTATGAAGCCCCAGCCCATCACAGGCTCCCTCTTTCCTCGGTCTCCCAAATGTTCGAATAATAGAGCTTCTGGGCATCCAGCACGCTCACCCCGTCCCCAAGCCTCTCCTCCATCTGAGCTGTCCTCCACTCCTACCGGGCAGAGGGTGCTCAAGGAAACAAAGGCGCGTCCTCCGGGTCTAGCTCCTTCTGTCCCATGTGTGAGAAAGCGCGTCCTGCAACCCAGCACTGAACAAAGTGGCCCAAAGCATCAATAAAATGGCAGCGCGTCTGCACACTCATTGACTTCTCTCTCCCAGCTGCCCTGGCTGCCCAGGTCAGCCGCTAGTAGCTTCCATCCCTGGCCAGCAAGCAGGGAAAACGGGGGAGCGACTCCCCTTCTTCACCCAGCTCCCACCACCTCCAGGCAGTGTCGCCCAGTGCCCACCACCTGAGCCTGCGAGGGCACATCGGGACTCTCCCTCTGCCTGGGGCTCAGCTCCAGAGACTCAAGCCCTGCTGTAGTGGACAAAGCCACCGTAGTGCTGGAAGCTACCAGGCCCACCGAGTAGCCCTCAAGTGCCCCTTCCTTTACACCCCCCAACACTTTCCAGGGAATTAAACTCAGTCTGAGGCGCTACTGGAGAATGTTTCCAATGGTTTCGGTTCTAAAGGAGAAACAAAGGAAGACAGGGGCTGGGGTCCTGTCCCTGAACCAGGGTCTCCTGGCCTGACCTTTGTCTCTCACAGCCATAACTCACTCTAGATATGAACAATCAACGGAAATACCTTAAAATAAATTCCATCCTTCTGGTGTGGCCTCGAGTCCCATCGGCTAGCTGGCCCAGAACCGCTCCATTAGCACTGAAAACTGCAACCCGCTAGGAGAGCGCTCTCCGGAGAAGGGGAAGAAGGAGGAGGTGGGTGCGTGGGGGTGGGGGAAAAGCTCTCGCTCTGTAGAGGATCTAGAAAACGTAATCACAGGCGAAGCCGTCCGGGTCTCCGCTCCAAATGCCACAATAATGCGCTGTATTATGTGCTCACGTGGTCATACGTCAACTTAAATCCTTTTATTTGAAATAGGGAATCACTGAAGGAACTAGGTTTCCAAGCAGAACATTTGGCTTTAGGGGAGGGGAAATAGGGGACCTTTGCCAGCAGTAGGGAAGAGTTTGGTCTAGGGCAATAGGACACTGGGGGCATCTCACTCCCCCCGCCCCCCACCCCCCCACACACACAACCTGTGCCACACAAGAGCAGTTATCTCCGCTTATATTTCCTTACACTGGATCCAAACTCAAGGAAACAACAATGCTGTTCCCATTCTTAGAGTCCATGTAACTTTTCTTACAGTTTTTCACTCAGGGACCAGCTGAGCCTAGCACACCCACACACTCCAGTCTCCTCTGGCCTCCTGGCCCACACATCAAAAGGCAAAGCCCAGGCCCTGCTTCCAGAAGAAACCCAGTAATGACTTGCCTAGTCGGTGGACTCCCTCATGGCCTGCCATTGTATGGAGTTTGCTAACACCCACACCATACACCACAGCCACTGAAGAAACCCAAAAGAGCCCATAATTACCTGACAAAAGGCGAAAGCACCTCCTCCAAGGACACTTGGTTTTATTTGAAGGGAGCCCCCTAGGAAAGAGGTGCTTGGCTCTAAAGTGGTGGGTTCAGGGTTTTGCAAAACCTGGAAAGACTCAGTGCCCTGGCCAAACCTGCACATATGCATTTCCTCAGTGCATAGCTGAGTGAGACACAAAATTATAGGTTTCTAATGATGAAAAATGGGAGGGGAAATTATCTAATTGTCTCTGTAAGAGAGAGAGGAAAAAAGAGAACCAACCTTTGCTGGCGTCCCTTGAATTCACCTACAAGACAACCTGGGACCCTCTCTGCAGATAGGTGTGTGCATCTCCCCTAAGACAACTTTGTGGCCAGCAGCATAAACTGAACTGGACCAACTCTGCTCAGGAGAAACCTGGCTAAAACAAATGAGCACCCCCACCCCCACTCCTGCCTTCTGCTTGGTGACACTGATTTCAACACTTCGCCCTCTCACCAGCTGTCTAAAAAGTTCTTTTCAGGTTTTAGTTTCTGAACTTCGGGAGTGCTCTGCGGTAGTGAGATCCTCAGGCCTATTCTTTTGTTCCTGGAGAGAGTAGGTCTTCAGCTGGCTAGGCCTCTCTAACTGTGAGGACTCACTTGGAGCTGCAGCAGGAGGCTATGCATGATTCTCCTCCACCCCCCACCCCCACTTCTCCTCCCCTGCAGGGGAACAGAAGAGGCCTGGTGAGAATGCAGGGCCCTCAGTAAGGGGGCCTGATCCTGGGGGTGTCCAAATCAGAAGGGCAATAACAGAGGAGACCTAATCCCTTGGAAGTGAGTCCCGGCCTAAGCTGGTGTCAATATTCCAATAAGGTTCTGTCTGTGGTATACCTGGGGGAGAATGTCAGCTTTCCCAGCTCTGACCTGAGCCACAAGCTGGAAAGTGAGAGCCCAATCTGAAAGCCCACTTCTCTCAGGTTTGGGGATAGGGGCTGGGGGACAGGACCCAAGGCTGGTCTCTGAAAAACACACTCCAGTGTCCCCAAGGACTCAGGTCACTAATACACTGTCCTCTGCTCCTCTAACCACCCCCACCCCCACCACCAAATATTTCACACTGAGCTCTCCAGATAGCCTAGAAAAGACCTAGAATTATTGCCCTGAATTGCTGGCAAACTCCACATACCGCCCCCAACCAAAGTTTCTGTAGAGGTTTCGACTCACAGATGAGAAGGGGCCCCCTTCAGAACTCTCAGAACAGTCTGGGGCAAAACGAAATTCCCAAGGCCATAAATCAATGGGAGAAGTCTTTGGTAGTGCTTCAGAGAAATGCCTTAACGCCAGCAAGGCCCAGAGGCATCCCAGCTCTAGGCAGGACCCTCCATGCTGCTATTAACAGCCAGGTTAATGCTCCAACTGCTGTTTAACAATTAACATTAACGACTTGGGGTAGGATGGGGTGACTTGGTGAGATGTGAAGGAAAAAAATCTGAGAAAGTCAAAAGAAATTTAACTTTTGAGGTGGAAACAGCTTCCCTAAGAGAGACCTTGGTCTGGGCAAGCCACCAGGGAACCAGCAGCTGAGAGGCCTCCTTCACCACTATGAAATCCGCTTTCCTGGAGCAAGGCTCTGGGCCTTTTCAAGTTCCAGTCCAGAGAGCAAGAATGGAGATGCTCAAGTATGTAGGCCCAGGCTGGGAAATCCAGCTGCCAGGCCCGCTATCCTCACTCCCTCAGTCCCCAACATGGCCATCCAGGGCTGGAGACACATGCCCTGGTTCCACACCACCAGAGCCAAAATAGGCGGAAAGTTGTCTCCTAAAGAGCAGGTGACCCGGGATACAGAGCTTTAGTCAATATTTGCAAGGCTGTTGGCAGATTAGATATATCTATATTCAAACACTGCAATCTGATTTCTCTGTCAAAAATACACTTAACATTTTTCTCCCTTTAGTTAACACCAGTGTTTTTTCCATTTTGAATCAGGTAAGGCCCTCTTCACCCACTCTGTGTGTGTGTGTGTGTGTGTGTGTGTGTGTGTGTGTGTGTGTATAGGTTCTAGATCATTATTTAACATGAGATATTTCTTGTGGGTGCAACTACAGTACAAATGGGATCCAAGTTTTGTGGATACAGATGAATGTGTATATCATTTTATACACATAGTCTCAAACTCCTGGAACTATTTACACATGTAGTGGTTCTATTGTGTGCAGACATGCGAATCATATGTACACACTGAGTTGCAAATTCATGAAATGCTTCATCTATACTTGATATAAAGATATACAGTGGCTGAGGAAGCAACCCAACTTTACTATTACTCTTTTGACTTCCTATCTAATAAAATAATAATTGTATCCAGAACACCATATCAGCCTTAGAGCATCAGTGAATAGCATGTTGCAACTAATTAACAACCTTATATCTATTGGGGGGGGGCCAGCAAATTTTAGGGAAGACTGAGGCCTAGGGAATAGAAAACAAAATCTCAGAAAACTTTTTAAAATAAATAATCCCTGAAAGAACAAAGCAAACCCATTCCTTCATACCAAGCTTCTCTAAGCTATTCCAGCAGCCCCTCCCCCAAATAGGCACGAAATTTATGGATCTTTTACAAGGTAATAAACCACAGTAATTACCTCCCTGCATCCCAAACTAAGAACAAATTAAGCCAGAACTTGAAAAGAATTTTAAAGAGTTCCCCCTTGTTCCAAATAGGAAAAGAAAACGCGGAGAAATAGAAAAAACGTGTTTTTCCCGTAGAAAGAACAGCGGATTAGCCTGGCGAAAGGAACCCAGGAGCCCCATTGCCTGCGACGGTTTACACTTTGGAAGCACAGCAACTTCCCTCATGCCAAGGAAAGGCAACAGGACAGGAGAAACTGCAAGGCGACGAGACACGTTTCCTCAACGCAGAGCTGGGACTGACCACAATTTCCCAACTCACAGTCTCCGCAGGCGCGGCAAATAGTGGACAAGGAGCGCGGCCCACGCGGCGGCCGCCGTGCCCGTGGCCTCTGCTTCTTTTTGCCCTGCTGTTCCATGTAGTGGTTTGTCTGGAACTTGCCGGAAGAAACAAATACACCCTTCTGACACACCCGCCCCCCAAGCACACACATCTTTGGTCTCTGCGCCAGCCCCTCCTGCACAACGCCGGCTTTGCGGGCACTCTTTGTCTGCCTGAAGCCCCGCATTCGCGGAGCGTGCAGCTGCAGGGAACCCAACCCCAAACTCCTCCGAAGTTAAATATTGACCAAAACCTCTTTCAAAGGGCTGCAGCTGCTCAGGAGAGCAAACTCCCCCCAAAGGCCTGGATCAAAGTCCTGCACGGTGACGAGTTTGGGCGCAGCGCTTACCTCGAGAGATGTTTAAGACTGAACCCCAAATTGTCTCCAACTCCGAGAGCTCAAGGAATCGTCTTTTCCGGTGTCCAGGCGCTCTGCAGACAAATAAACAGCAGAGGGTGAACGGTGGCTGCGGAGGAAGGGAGTCGGAGGACCGGAGTTGAAAGCGCGGTCGGCGCGGGCGCCAGGGTGGCCCCCGGGGTGACGCGGACACGGAGGAGTCGCCAGGGCATTCGTCCATGCGGCGCACTCATTGCTCCAAAGGTTCCAGTCTACAAATGGCCTGAAGATGGTGATTTATTTTTGTAAAATAAATACATACTCCATCTTCGCACCCACACTCTTCTTTTCTTTCATTATGTAGGGGGTGGGAAAGAGGGAAGGAGGAAGAAAACGGACGAGGCGGAGCAAGATAGGAAGGTGGAAGGGGCTTCGCTGTTGGTGCCCGCTCTGCTCGGAGAGCTCCTCACACACCTCAACTAGGGGAACGTGAATGCACGCTTTATTTTCTTTTGCTAACAAAGGGATGCCTTGTCTGGGAGCATTCAATCACGGACTCTCCTGAAACCTCACTAATAGTGTTCATTTCTGTTTGGCGCGAAATCAGAGCCCGGCTCAGCCCATGGGCCGGGGGCAGCCTTGAGAGGTTTTGTCTTCTGCTTTATCCAAGCCTTAGGCTCATCGCTTCTCCGTCCCAGTGGACTGGCAGGGCTACAGCAGCGCCCAGTCCCTCACAGCAGGCCAACTATGGCTGCTGAAACAAGGGGAAACTGGGAAGGGCTCGGGCATGGGACAATACCGGATCTGGGGGCCCTATCCAGCCTCGCCTTGTGCAGTGACGACAAGCCGCTTGACGCCCTAATTCTGCTGCCACCTCATCCCTCAAGATACTTGTAACCCCCTCTTGCTCTCTAACTAGCAAAAAACGGCCAGCCAACTGGGGAGGTGGAAGGAAGGCGTTGGGGAAGGGGCAAAGAATCATCCTGGGGGACGGCCCTAGCTTGGAGAAGTTCCTTGCTGGCTGGGTTGCTCCCAAAGCCCCATTCCTGCCCTACCACCTTTTCACCCAAACTCATATAGCCCCCCCACACACACTTCAGCCTGCTCCAAACCAGCCCTTGATGTTTGTCCCACATCTAAGCAATCCTGCTGATAGCGCCAAGAAATGGCTACCAAAGAGCTGACAAGTCCCCTGACCCTCAGGCTTCAGGGGCCCCTGGCACATTGAACAAGTGGCCGCAAACCAGCAGCTAGCTGCCCTCTGCCACCACTCGACCTGCAGCTCCCACCCTCCATCAGGCGCTTGGGACTCAGAATTCATGCTGGGCCTCTTTCTCTTGTTCAAACTCGCCCTCTCTGTCCCCAATGTGAGTGCCCCCTGGCCTTGGAGCTCCTGGCGTGACCCTGAGCAAGGTGGGGCTTAGCTACTCTGCATGGTGCCACTCAAATTCGCCCCAGAAAGATCCGCTATGCCACCATCCGCCACGCCTCCCCCCTCCGCGACGCTTATGGATATTATAATTATTATGGCTATTATTATTGCTGTATTTCCTTATCCCCAAGTCAAATATTCATGGCCGCTGTTCCCCATAAATCGCTCAGAATAATGAGTCACAAGGAGATGTTGCCCAGGTTTCTCCCTCTGCAATGGCCGCCGCCTCCGATGTGGCCTCTCTTTCCGCGTTTTTGGCGCTCGCTTGCTCCCTCGCTCGCCCAGCGCGGGTGATTTATGAACACCGGGAAAATTGAACAAAGCCGCGCTCCCGTCCTGTGGTATCTCTGCAGCCTTCCCCAGTGTGAATCAGAACATTATCAACTGTCTGCGCATCCGTCCCACTTCATCACCAAAGCCAGGATGTGACCGCAGAAAACCCGAGCCCGAACTCACGTTTCCCCGGACGCCGCGCGCTCCCCGGACTCGCAGAAGCCCTGCACGTGGGCCCGCCAGCTCGGGTCCTCCCGGCTCCAGGGCTGTCTCCAGCCCTCCTGAAGGAGTTAAAAGCCTTCGGAGATAAATATGAGGGTGCGTGTTTTAAAAAATCAAATAGGAAGTTGGGGTCTCACTTCTGAGAGATTCATTCCTAGTGAGGCCCTGACGACTCCGATCCATTCCTGATGATCCGCATTAATTATTTAATGAGTCACGTGGCCTCAAAGATTACAATTTCAATATCTCCCTCGAACAGGCGCTACACCTTTATCTGCTGCAACCAGGGTGCTTGGTTGGCTTTTTTAGTTCCCAGGCCTCCGGAACGCAGACGTCCTTGCCCAGCTCTTGGGCAAGAGAACGCCATTGAAATCCCAGGGCGAGAACAGTAGAAGTAGTCATTCTGGGACAATGACAGTTGTGGACAGTGGGGTGTCCACTGCTCTCCCAGGCACCTTGACGTCTGTCCCCTCCTGAGCCCAGAGGTCAGCCTACCCACCTCAGTGCCCAGGTTAAGGCGGTTTTCTTACATATTCTCCCTGGGGGCTTTGATGGCTCATGGGGCAAGAACCCACTCTTCTAATCTGCCTGAGCACACCTGTGGCCATCCATGTCAAGTGTAAATCCAGAGTTAGTCCACTGCAGGCAGAACAGCCTTCCACCGAGGAAAGATGCCTGTGCACTTACCCCTATCCAAGGTGAGACTAAAGGCTCTGTTCAATCTACACACTCATTCACATTCACATGAAGAACATGGGGGGCGGGGGAAAGCATTCAGCTGCCTCAGTTTCCTCACTGGTAAACTGAGAAGACTGAACCGAAATGGCCTCCAAATCTCTTTCACCTAGGACATTCTTTGAACCAGGGGATTTCTTTTAGCCCCAGGAATCAATTCTAGAAAGACTGGGACTGGCCTGAAAGAGGGTGGAGGTTATTCCATGAGCTTGGGGCCTTGAGAAGACATGACGGAGCGCCAAGACAGAAGTTTCAGAACAGAGTATTTCACAACAGCCCCAGCAGCCTCCTTGATGGTATGAAACAGAGCACATGTCTCTTCTTCCTCCAATTTTCCCCAGCCCATACTCTTTGAGAGAAGAAGCAGAGTTATTCCTGGGTCCCTACATAATATAGAGAAGGGCAACCGGAGCAGCTGTTGGGAAGGGAGAGCCTGTGTTCTTCAATACAGGACTTCGGCAAGGGATGCAGAGACCAAGAGAGTGCAAAGAACAGCCTATTGCCTGCACAGAGCCCACTCACTCAAACGGGAAGCCCCCCCCCGTTTCTGTTTGCTACATTGATTCTTGGGGTTTTTTTCTTTCTTTTCATTCTAAAGAGTCCTTGATCAGTTTCGATGTTGCAACTGCTGGAAGGAGAGCAGTGGTGAGAAGAGCAGCCCAGTTTGGAAGCTTAGGAGAGCAGGGACAGAGGCGAGATGGCGATACCTACCCCATGGAGAGGAGGCTGGAAGGTGTGGGGAATGTGGGCACCCTGGGACAGCTGACTATAAAGTCAGAGACACCGTGCAGAGGGCCAACTCCCCATATAGCTAGGTAATCTTCCCATGAGCTCCATCTTGGGTATTAAGTACTCTACTATGCCTGTCACAGTTGAATTCTTGCTGTAATAAAACACCGGGTATATCGTAGATTTCAGCAAAACTAGGGAAGAGAGCCTGCAAAGTGCCATTTTTCTTCAGGGGGGAGAGTGTTAAGTACTTAATTCAAACTGTGACCATTAAAGTGTCTCCTATCCGATTTAGGTTGATTTCAGATGTTGACAAAACTTTTATCTCCAGAGTCGTGCACAGCTTGGCTCTGTGACTAAAGCAGATGAGTGTGTGTTAGAGAGAAGAGGGAGAAAGAAAGAAAAGGAGAGCGTGTATAAGGGTCACTTTGGTAGGAGAATTATAGAGCTTACACAAAATACTGTCTTTAAAGGTCAAGGGTTTGAGAGGCCAGTAGGATTTGCTTAAAAAAAAAAACAATTAATGAGTTAGAAAATTTGTCCTCTGGATGAACTCTAATGGTTGCCCTAGCAAAGGGCAGACAATGCATGATTTTGAAGCACAAAGTGGGACATTCTAAGCTGTTATAACAAGCTCCCTTAAAGACCAAATCTGAAGCGGCAAAACACTGTTAAGAAATGACACAATCATTTGGATTGGATCATTTTGGACCATTTTGACCTGGTAAAACTTACCAATACTTTAATCATCAAGACAGGTTGGGTAAAAATGCCATTTTGTCCTGGAATATTAGAAAAACAATCTCGATTGTCTTTCTCCCTTTCTTGGATAGAGACTATAAGAGTAAGTGAAAGACAGTTACCCCTTTTACCCCCATACAGCTGCCTCCAGTATGAAGCTAATGAATGCCCCATCCCCCTCCTTCCCTACAAAGGAGAAATATAAGAATTTACCTTAAATGATGATAATCTGCCATTTGAGGTTTTGCAGCTCGACACTCAGTTTCCACCAAGAGACTAGGCATTTTTTGAGCAGACAGCCAAGATGCTGCATCTTTGCCCGGGACCACATTATTTGCAAGAAGATCCCTCGCTTCTCCACAGACTTTTCCCAGAGAATGCCTTTCAGAATTGCTGTTGAATTACAAAGAAGTATTTATTGTATGAGGTGATTAATGATTCCTGGGAAAA